AGAGACAGAGCATGAATGCGGGAGGGGCAGAGAGAGAGGGAGACACAGAATCAGAAACAGGCTCCAGGATCCGAGCCATCAGCCCAGGGCCCGACGCAGGGCTCGAACTCACGGACCGCGAGATCGTGACCTGGCCGAAGTCGGACGCTTAACCGACTGCGCCACCCAGGCGCCCCGACAATCTTCTTTTATAAAGTTGTTGGGTTGGAGCTCTTAGGGAGCTCCCTAAGAATCCTGCCTACAGAGAGAATAACAATGGAACCGGATCCAGCTTTGCCTGAGGTCAGATACACCTATGGAATTTAAAGTTATATAAGCCAACAAAACTTCCCTTTTCGCTTAGGCCAGTTTAAATTAGATTCCTGTTCTTTGTGACTTAAATGCCATTGACTAATCCAGAAATTTTCACTGGTGTCCTTAGCTTTTTTTCGGATGCCGTTAAGGTGCAGGGATGGAAAATACGGACAACTCAATTCTGGTTTTGGACCATTGGCAGCAGGACCTCATTTCTTTTATCCCAAATATTTAGAAAATAACCTTCTGATAGTTTTTACACTCCATGGCTATTACATGTTCCATCTTAAATCCCTTTCCTAAGATGGCTAGCAGGATCCCAGCATCTTGCTCTCCCTTTCCTCTGACTGCAGAATTCATCGGATGTATCTTTCTCGTCTACACAGCTGCCAACCATGTTTGTTCAAGTTCGCTCCTAGACCATCCTCATGATAGGGTGCACAGATCTTCCAGTGTTTTCCTTTATTCACCCAACCATCACCTGAACCAATCCCCTTTGCCAAAAAGATACATACAGTACCATCTACTTTATGACAGTGGAAACTATAGTACCTCCTCCCATCTAAATGTTTACAAACCCCTTTCTTAGATAAAAATTCTTATTTTAGCCAGAGAGTTAAAAAGAGGAGGACGTGTATAGTATTTGCCATTCAGCTCTTGAAAAAAAAGACAATAATAAAGGTACTAATATTTTTTAGAAAACTCTGGAGCCATCCCATTTCTGAAATTACTTACAGGATATTCATGCTGCCATTAAATAAGCAGATAATCTTTATCTGCTAATAAGAAATACCCCAGCTTATTGCCAGAGGACTGTGATTGTCTTAACAAGTTTTACAGAAAATAAAATACCAGGAGATAACAGGTATTATGTTTTCTTTTGGCAAATATGAACATGTCACAGCTAGCATATCTTACTTAATTGGGCCTATAAAAACTCGCCAGGCCATTTCACTTCCAGTCATTGAAATTCTCTCAACTTGTTCTTTACAGCTTTTCAGAGTCTACATGAGAAAACAGCTACAGAACAGACTGGTTGAAAAGATTTGTAAGGTCTCATGTCCGTATTTACAAACCTTGCAATCTGTGTGTGTTCATTTCTTTTAACACAAATGAAGTGAATAAATCAGGATCTCCTTTGGGAAAAAGAAAACCACCATATTTGAGACAAAAAGGACCAAATACGTCCACCGAGGCGACTCCTAAGTGGTCTCTCTAGAATTCCCAGCACCCTGGGCTGCACACCCGGCCTCCAGCAGAATTAACTGCTATCACTGAGCTCATTTCGAAGCGAATCCCTCTCTATACAACAGAATTACTCACATATATTATTGGCCTTTTTTTTTTTTTTTTTTTTTTTTTTTTTTTTTTTTTTTTTGGTTTGGCCTTAGATGTCTGTATTCCTGGCTAGACTGTAAGTTCTTCCAAGGTAGAGATGATATATTCTGGGACTGGCACCTGGCCTCTATTAAGACAGAGCAAATATTTGTTAAAATTGGACAAGAGACAGAGAGAAAAGAGAGTCAGATGCAAATGCTATGGGAGCAAGTGAGAACTCAAGAGAGCAGTGGGGAAAGCCTTCAGCTCCAAGCCACTGGACATAGAACTACCTATAGGATGGCCTGGGAAAATCAGAAAGTTTGAGGTAGAATTATGAGTACCGCTAACAACAATATATTAAAAAAAAAATTCAAAGATCCTAATAACCTTTCCGGTGATTGCTTTACCAATTTGGCTTTCAAGACTTTTGGGCACATACTTTTATTCTTTCTGGTCTAGTAAGTTCTTAGGCAACTTAATTTATTTTTTCTGTATTTTATTTTAGGGAACTTTATTTATTCTTTCTGGTCTATTTAGTTCTTAGGTAATTCCCTTCTCAATAGTTTAGAAGCTTTCCAGTATTGTGTGGATCCGGGGGATATTTATCAGGCTTCTAAATCTGAGATAGCTGGCCCGGGAAGTTCTGAGTCCGTGAAAGTGGTTTTTGATGATGCTGGTCCATGTAATGATTTTGTTAGAGAAGGTGAACTACTTTGCTTACTGCAGTGATTGGAATCAATGTCTTATTTAAAAAAATTTTTTTTAATGTTTATTTATTTTTTTAGAGAGAGACAGAGCATGAGTTGAGGAGGGGCAGAGAGAGAGAGACACACACACACACAGAATCCAAAGCAGGCTCCAAGCTATCAGTACAGAACCCAACACGGGGCTTGAACTCACGAACTACAAGATCATGACCTGAGCCGAAGTCAGACCGTTCAACCTACTGAGCCACCCAGGCGCCCTGCCAATGTCCTATCTTGATGACCACGTGGAGAAGCACCCGGGAGCCCTCTCTTGGGCCTCACCCTTCTCTTTCAGGGGCTGATGATCCAATTTTAACAAGCACTGTCTTTGACGATAAAGACCAGACTGATTAGGAACCACAGCCTGAATAAAAGCTGCTTTGTTGGGTCTGGTTGACCAGCAGGAATGAAATGTTAACTTTCTAAACTTGCTTTCCTAGATCTCCCCAAAAGTAGGAAGACAACGGTGTAATTTCTCTGGCCTGTGCTGGACAAAAGATACCAGTGTTTTTCCTTGGCTTGGGGGGGATGGAAGGGAAAGTTGCTGAGATTTGAATCCCTGGTTTGGAATATCTCAGGCGATCCCGAAGAGCCCTAGTCTTTTATGAGAGTGCATTTCACAAGCATCCCTTTGGGAAGCCTTAGTCCCCACTTGTGTGGGAAACGTAAAGTCAGTCGCTTTTGGCAAAGCTCAATACACTTGAGCATGGGAAACACAAATTAAAATAGAGATACTTCTTTATTCGCTAGATTGTCTAATTCCACATTGCTTGGAATAAAAATCGAATCATTAAGATAGAGAGGACCTGAGTGGATGGTTATCCATTTCACGATTGGTAAAGGTCAGGGGAAACTCCAGGTCTCATGAAGGTTAAGTATCTTCAGCCTTTCAGCTTGACATAAGGGGATCCTATAAAGTAAGGTCAAAACAACCAGGACTTCTTGGTCTAAAATTACTTGTCTTATTTTGCTCATAGGAATTCACAGTGGTGTTGAGATGGAGAACTTTTCGATGCCCTGGACATGGTGTTCTGTTCTGCTTATGGTGAGAATGACTTCTCTTATTTGATTGCTTATTTGTTTCATCAAGGGAGCAGAACCTTATGCATACGGTCCGTCATCAAAGTTAATATGTTGATCTCAATTAAGTTTGAAATGAATTATTATTTAAACTGTCCTTCTGTGGAAATCTTTCTCTTCTGTTAGTGACAGTCTGGGTGACCAGTGGCCCCATCGCTGTAAATGCCATTCTGTTTAATCCTAACATCTGTAATAAAACCAATAAAAAGCTATTTGTTTTGATCTATAGTTACAACGTGCCTATCTCTGGAAGAGGCCAAAGACATTTGGTAGGAGACTGCCAATCCTTAATTTGCATTTCTGATTAGTGTTTTTAAAGCCTATCATACAAGGAAGAAACTACTGGGCCGAGGAGTTTCAGTTGCTCTGCACAACAGTGGTGGGTGCTGCCGTTGACTTTCAAACGCTACTGTAACAGTGCTAGGTGCTACGCCTGGGATGTCACGGCACCAGAGTGAAAGATAGAGGGAATCAGCTTGGTTTCTGGACTCTACTCTCCCAACCCCGACCTGGTGAGCATAAGTATGAGTGTACAAATCAGGAAAGGAAACTTTCCTTTAATAGATTTGTCCTTCAAAAGAGCTGGTGTCTTTAGTGGCCACCAGGGATAAGAGAGTTCTTTATGTGGCTCTCAAAACAGCACTAAAAACCATAGTAGAAGGCAGTAACCATCAAATAGGGTGAGTGAGAGCTGACATCACGCAAGGACATCACTATTACCATGTACAGCTCTGCCCCAATAACACTGGTAACGAGAGCCAAGATTTATTGAACCCCAGCTCAGTGGCAGGCACTATTCTGAGTATGTGACATGTACTTTAATCCACCTCTAAGTACTCTCCTCTGGTATTTTTGTGGATATTCAAAAGTTAAGTGTATTTTGTCAGTGCAGACTTACCTTCTTGAAAAAGACAAGAGAATGAATCGTGCTATCCTGGAAAAACCCACAGAATCTCTCTTTAGAGGACACAATATGCTTTTCAGTCTGTAAATGTTGAAGGGTTTGGCAAAGGGAACCCTCTAATACTAAGACTGTTCTCATCTCAAAATAAAAGTATCTTAGCGAGCAGCAAAATGAATTGTTCCGATGCAACATACAAACAACAGATATCTCTGAAGAGAACCATTCTGAAATTTATGTCTAATAACCTTTTCCAAAGGAAAGATGGCTTATGGTGCATGGTCTGTTAATGCTTGCCCGGATGTCTGAAACCCAAGAGATGGGAGGCAAAGATTAAGGCTCAGTAGATGATGACAAAGATTCCTTGTCTTCTTTAAAATTACGACCATCTGCTCCACCCTAACACATTGGTATACAAGTCCAACAGAGAGTAAATATGAAAGCAATTAAAATAAACTACTATGCATTAGTGTGGTTTGATTTATGTAAACAACTTCTGTGGGACAAGATGGCTGTGGTTTGGGTAATGTTCATATCTGTGAAACTCAAGTAACCTAAATATAAGTTGATATGGATAGAACATTCTTAGCCGTGTTCTGCTCGCAATGATCTCAGTAAAGATGAATTCAATGATTGGAATCAGGCATGCATGGGCTTACCCAGTGAAAGTCATAATCTAGTCTTGCTCTTCCCTCGTCGTCCTCATATAAGGTGAAACCTTCCCTCCGTGCCTGATAATACTCTTTCCGCAACTTCTGGATTCGATCAGTGCTTCCGCTTGGAGGACGGCCACTAGAGGACATAATCAAACAAACACGGTCACCCGGTGTGCATCATCCTGGACACTCACTTTTTGATCTTGGTAAAGGAGCTAGCATCCAAATTTAGAAGATTCAATAATGTAATTCAAATATGCTAGGAAAACTGTAAAATCGGTAATAAAAGTGAACAAAAATGGTCTTTATGTAAATACATTTAGATCTAAGGGTCAAAACATCTGACTTGGGATGAATAAATGCCTTTTGAGTGAAAAGGTAAGATAAGGTCCTGACCTTAAGGGCAATTAAAAGAGCTATCACTTTTTTCTTATAATCATAACCACAGAGTTTGGTTAATTTGAAAGTAGGTATTTCATTTTCTCAAATAAGAAGTTGCCAATCTGAGGCCAGTTGTTTGACCCGAATATTGGATATGACACAGAGTTGGCATGTGCTGGTCTTCATTTCAATGACACTGATGAGTTTTTGCGTGGGGGGTAGGATCCGTGTCAGTATATGGGCACACAGGACATAGGGAAAGCAGAGAAGGGAGAAGCCATATCAAGACGTAAAACGAAAAATAGACAAAAAACGGGTGACAGTAGACTGTGGCTTCTTCATGACTTGTCCATGATTCCCCTCCCCACTTCAAGCACTTTTTTCTCTTAGGAATTTCCATTTCTCCAGTTCTCATCCATGCAACCCCAAACTGTTCAGCCAGTAGCTCCCTTTTAACTCGGATTTGTCATGATCATTTCAACAGAACAAAATCATGTGATGCATTTCAGGGCTGGGAAGCAAGAGGGGAACGGTAGGCAGATTTCAACAATTGTTCAACTTCTCTGGTTCATCTGAGGCATAACTGAGTGTCCTAATGTGCCAGACCCTATGTTAAGATCCAGGGGGGACATGAAAACAAACAGTTCATAGCCGTTGTCTGCAAAAAACACATGGTCTGGGAGGCAGGGGACTGAAAAGGATACAGAAGACTACAAGCCAGGTGCTACAATAGCGGTCCCAAAAGGGACTGTAGTGACAAAGGCTGCGTAAGCTGATTGGGGTAGGGCAGGGCCATGGAAGAAGCCTACGGGAAGCTCCACAGAGGAGGCGACACCTTAGCTGAGTCTTGAGGGACACATAGGTGCTCAACAGCTACACAAGGGATGTGGGGAAATTGCAGGTGGAGGGAAGGGAAGCGCAAAGGACAGAATGAGGAAGCATCTTGCTTTGGGGGCGTGCAAAGAAGTCAGTCTGGGCCAGCAGTGGTCCTCAACTTCTTTTGCCCTGGCTCACATACACCGTGGGCAAAACACACTCCTCTCCCCTTCTCCTTTAGGAAACAAGTTAGAATACAAATGAGTAGTGGTGACTTTAGGGACATTTTTTTTTTTCAACTTTTTTTTATTTATTTTTGGGACAGAGAGAGACAGAGCGTGAACAGGGGAGGGGCAGAGAGAGAGAGGGAGACACAGAATCGGAAACAGGCTCCAGGCTCCGAGCCATCAGCCCAGAGCCCGACGCGGGGCACGAACCCATGGACCGCGAGATCGTGACCTGGCTGAAGTCGGACGCTCAACCGACTGTGCTACCCAGGCGCCCCTTTAGGGACATTTTGAATTTACTCTAATAAATGACAGAAGCACATCACTTGCAAATTTTGGTACTTTCACTCAATTCATAGCAACGTGTTTTTGCCATAAGGACACTTGTGTTTGATGGGTCTGAGGATCACCCTTCTAGTATACAGAGTACGGGGGAGGGGAACAGGCGAGGTGGTGAAAGGGAGGAAGAGACCCACCGTGAAGAGCTGTGCCTGCGAGAAGATCCCCGCATATTACAGTGGAGATTTAAGTTTAAATGAGACATCTCATTAAAGGAGATGTCTGAAAGCAACAGAAGTCATCTACTATTTTGTTAAAAAATGTTTTTGAAATGATACATGTAAACCGTAAAAAGAAAAGGGTGAGTGGACATCTTGTGGCAGAAAAGCATTCTTCCCAAACTGGATTCACAGCGAATCGGTAGCGTCTCACAATATCTCTACAAAGTTCACATGGGGTTCTGGGCTTCCTACATCACATCACTCTATAGACACCCGGTAGCCAAGGCTTTTTATTAAGAAAAGACAAACCCTTGGGTATCACGTATCTTTATTTTTCTCCAATCTGCATTTAAAAACTCTCCAGATAGTTCCGTTTCTCCACTATGCTTTTTTTTTTTTTTAAAGTAGAAGGTTTCTAAACAAAAATGCACAAATGAGACTCGTGAATACAGAGAACATGCTGGTGGTGGCCAGAGGTGGAGGGAGGAAACAGAAGAGCAACATGGGTGAAGGGGAGAGGGAGGTACAGACATCCAGTTCTGGAATGAGTAAGTCATGGGGACGAAAGGTGCAGCATCGGGAATAGAGTCAAGAGTACCAGAGTACCAGAACCACGTTGTGTGGTGACAGATGGTCGCCACCCCTGTGGGGAGCACAGCAGATCACTATGGTGTACACCTGAAACTAAAGTAACGTGTGTCAACTCAAAAAACGAACAAACAAACTTAAAAAAGGTTCTGAACATTTGAAAAAGACAATAACAACAATAATACAAAGGAACGTCTGATATGCTTTTCCGAACAGTGAGAAGGCAGGCAAGGTGGGCTAGCTCTATGTGGACCAGTTTCCCCTCCTCTTGAGTACTGTGAGCTGACTCCCGTGCCCGCTGCACTGCACAGGCTTCTGCCAATGATGTGAATGTGTGAGCCATGCTCTAACTCACCAGATGAGTTCAATCAACACGGTGAAAACATTGCATACATAATCTATTAGTTTACCCAAAGAAATTGAAGCGCTGAATTCAAGCAGGATGAAGTCATCAGTAATAAGGGGGGAAAAATTGATAAGACCCTGTTTTAAAACTCCCCCCAATTTTCCTACATTTGTGATGGAAAATCATACTCAGACTATAAACTATTCTCCCATATGTCTATAAATACATAAATTTAAAAATAAAAAAATATGGGTTTGATCAGATTTTAGTCCTCAAATAAAGGGAATGGGGCAGGAATACAAAATCAGCTGTTTAGGATTCAGAAAATCCCCTGTGGCTGACAGGAACATGACTATTTACCCAGAAAAGAAATCTGGCTTCAGAGAAAAAACAGGGAAAAAGTCTAGAAAGTCATGGACCATATAAGTGCAGAACACGCTGTATCTTCTCCCTTGTGTGAATATTTTAAAGGAAATGGTGCAAACCTTTCATAATAACCCGGGACTGCATCTCACCCTTCTCTCTCTCTCTCCCTCTTTTTTTTTTTCTTCAACCCTCATCCTGCCCTAAGTAGCTGTATCAGACTTTTCCCCTTAATTTTATTAAGCATTTAATATAATAAAATGAGGAAGATCAAATTCTGATTTCATTTTTCAGCTCTTTTCCACAGGTAGTACACATTTACCATCAAGTCAATAAAAATGACACGCACAGCTATTGTGACGAAAGCAGTTAATTGATGCCATTTTGTGTTGAAGATGTAGAAATTCGAAGAGGAATATAAAAACACCTTTGTCATAATAGCAGCAATAATTATAATAGCTATAAAATATGCACCACTTACATAACAAATACACTGATACAGGCTTTTACTCCTTCCACTTCCTGCCCAGAGCGGACCTAAGGACCTAGGAAATCAATTACAGCTTTCCTTCCTGACGAACCTAGACATGGCCTTAGAATTCTTCTCAACTCAGAACTTCAGAAAGCCACTACCAATCTACCAAGAGATTCTGAAGCATCTTTTGATGCTGAGGAACCTTTTGCATAATAGCTTCAGAAGTTTCATTAGATTATGATATCACACCAATAGTCTTGCAACTGTATAAAAGCAGCCAGAGTATCAATAACCCCGCCTCCAAGTTCCTACTTAGAAGATTAGCCCTTCTATATTATTCGTTCCCTGGATGAAGTAAAGGTTGGCCACGCTCACCGAAAAAGTCCCTATTCCACCTGTATTCATATGTAGATAATCAGTGCTGCTCCTGCACTTTCAATGTGCTGACATTTTATGTAACATTAATGCAAGCAGCATAGCAAAACACGATTTATGTTGTAGTGATTTCTTGTACATTATACTGCTTATGCCTTTAAAGGCAGATGTATAGTTAAGCAGGCTCTTTTTAGTACACTTTAGAGCTGGACAGAGTTTACAGTTGTCAAGGAGTTCAGAAACCATGTCATTTTCTTCATAGCCACCTATGGTAATATATTCCCAAATGCAGTAAACCTATAGTAATATATTTCCTTATGCAATAAACATCCCAGTAAGGCATTATCTGCTCCTGTGAAATCTACCCTGATTCTTCTTATTCTTCATACGCTCCTAATTTATGATGACCTCAGCAGAAGTACATTTTACGCAGAGTGTTCATTTGTGTACGCCATGGTCTCCTCCCATTAGTGCTGCAGGCTGGAGAAAAGAAACTAACATGTATTAAGCTTCTATGATGCCCTAAGTATAATATTTATGCTTTACATACATCATCTCCTTTAATCCTCAATCAAATTTGTAAGGATGACATAGTCAGTGACATTTCACAGATGCCTGTACCGAGGCTCAAAGCAGTTATGTAGCATACTTGGTGGATGGTAGACCAGCAGTTGTGTGACTTCAGGACCAGTGTGATTCCTACCATATCATGTTGCTCTGCAAGAAAGGCATTAAAATGCAGCAGGCATTTTGTAGCACAAGTTCACAGGCATTTCAAGGCACCAGGAATTTAGCAGAGCACATTTATAGCCATACCTTTTGATATTCTTTTATTTGCACAGATCTTTGCAATAAAAATAGAAATCGAAGTAGCTAAAGCAATAGATATACATGCAATGAAGTCTGTATTCATTAAAGAATGATGCTGGATTTCTGTGTAATTAGTATTACATCTCTAGACAAGCTTTTGTGGGAAAGTGGTATAAAAATGAATGGGGTGCAAAGGGGAATCAACAGAAGATGGAGATCCCACATGAAAGAGAAACTCTGGACCAAGACCAGGAC